CCATCCAGCCAGCTTCTTCAGGGCTCTCAAGTCCCCCCATGAACTCACTCCCCTGGTCACTGATGGGTCCAGGCGCGGGAACCTGACTGAGCTGGGCCAATGATTACCTTCTCTATTTTTTTTTTTTTTTTGAATAAGAGATCAGTGCGAGAGTCAGAACAGTCTCTTGCTGGCAGTAGGACGTGTGAAATACAAATCTATTGGGAGCCATGTGTGAAAAAATATCCATATGTGGAAAAAGCCTGTCTCTAGTGAGAGAGAATGAAAGCAATTCAGAGAGAGGAGAGGCGAGAAGGGGCGAGAGATCCAGGGGCAGGAGCCCTTGGTTCCAGTTGTTTCTGACGCTGCATCCTTGCCCTCCCACTGTTTGGTTGTTGAAGCTTGCCTCGGATTCTAGGGGCAATACAATTCCTTTTACACCCAAGCTTGTTTGAATCCAGTTTCTTTTATGGGCAACCTAGATAACCCTCTGCCTATTTCTTTTATCTTTGAAGTTACTCAGAGGCATCTACACTGAGTTTCATTTTTAACAACCTCCCACCTGCCTTCAATTTAATTTCCTTTAGAAAACGTTGGCCATGAAATCTGCACTTGTATAGTCTAGGACAGCTTGTCTGTCCTTTTTCTGTTTTGTGAGCTCCTCCATGAGAAAGCAGGTTTCCATGGTCAAAGGCATTTGCGAAATAATACTGCATGCGATATTCCTATCTTGGAGATTCTTGAGGCAGCATATTAAAGAATTCCTACAGTGAATAAAGCGTTCGACTTTGTCTAACCAGATGCTTTCTATTCCTGTAACATGTAATATCGCAAACTCCTGACATTCCATAGGGCCCATTTTGGGGGATAGCGTCCAGGTCCATGTGTGACCGAGCTTGCCTTCTATAAAATGGCCTACTTCCAGGGTGCCCTGTGCAAGGATGTGTGACCAAGGGGGCATCTTGGTGTGGGGCATTGTCAGCCCAGAGGAAAAGACACTTTTGATAATTTTCATCGTCATCCTCTTCTCGCTAAGCAAGAGCCCATAGGGCTGAGTCTTCCCAAAGGGGGTGCCTTTTCCTAAGTCACTCATTGGCGCCCAAGGTCCTTCCTGTCAGTCAGAATTACACCCAGAGGAGTGGCTCCCTCTGCTTCCTTAAATTTCTGAGAGATGAAGCTGTCCATGAGGCAAGGCAAGAATGCATCAGAGACTCTGCTTTGAGCAGAATGAGACTTCCAGATGGTGAGGTGCTACAGGACCCTTGTGACAGGTACGGGATATCTGGAATATTCTCTGCCTCTGGGACAGTTTGACTATCCCCCGATCTACTGGTTGTCATTATCATCCTTCACTGTTTACAGTTCGCAGAGAGCTCTCTTTTGATCCCTCCAGCCATCCTGTCAAGTCAACAGGTTTTATTGGTCTCTACAGGTGAGGAAAGTGAGTCTCCCGTCACACAGCTAGTAAAGGAAGAGCTGGGGATTTGATCTTGGGTCTGACTCTATAATGCCACTTTCCTGTCTTGCTGCCCTGTCTCTGTCATCAAGCTGTCTGTGGCGACACCCTCAACAGCCATATTTCAATTCCTTTTTTCTCTATCATCACCCAAATATCTCCTATAAGGACTTGGGCTCCTTTCTCTGGGGATTGGGAAGAGACGGGAATGCCAAGGAGGAAGGATGGTGTCTGTGGGGCCATGTGGCTTGGCAGGTCCGGAAGGCTGCCTCCCTCCTGAGGACCATGGCAGGGCTAGGCCTTGCTACACCTACAGTCCCTGGGAGCAGTGACCAAGCAGCAAGATGTGGCCATGCCTCCTCAGGGGGCCTCATGGACAAGCATCCCTCACCTGCCAGAGCCCACCTCTCATCCTTCAGCAGGTGTGTAGACCTCACTCCCACCCACATGAGGCTCACTCCCCACCAGCCCAGGAAACAGCAGCTTTGGGGTGATCTGAGTCTCCAAGAGGTGCTCATTGCTCAGTGACTTCTCAGCCTGAAGAAAGGTACAATGGAGGAAGCCGGGATGTAAGGATTCAGGAGGCCTGGTTGGGTGGCCTGGGTGAAGTCACCTTCCCTGGCAAGTGGGGATAAAGAGCCCTCTCTACCACTGAAGGCTGTGGTGAGGAGAAGGCTCCAGAGGATGTGGGAGGAGGCTGCAAAGGCAGAAATCCAAAAAGCCACCCAGAGCAGTCTGAAGCTGTGCTCTCCAATATGGTAGCCACTAGCCCCCTGTTGCAATTTAAATTAATAAAAATGAAATGATATTAAAAATGCAGTTCCTCATTCTCAAGTGGCCACATTTCCAATGCTCACTTGTGGCTACCGTATTCGACAATGCAGATAGAGAACATTTCCATTGCTGCAGAAAGTTCAATTGGACGGCACAGACGAGTTTCTTCTCTAACCGGTTTCTTCTGGCCCCCGCCCCTGCTTTAACCCCCTCCTTCTTCACACAGCCTGCTTCCCCAACTCCCCAACCTCAGAGGAAACTGTTTAGGTGAACAGTGCTGGTCTATCCCCTAGGACAGCTCAAGCTGCAGGAGGGAGGCTGGAGTTCTCTTGTGGATTCCGTGTCCTAGTGAGACGATAAAGCAGAGTCTTCGTCTCGCGTCTTTGGCATCCCTGACAATGCCCTGCGTGGTGTTAGGCACAGCAGGTCCTTAATCACGATTATGGATTTGTCCTGACTTGGTACAGCTCATGCTCCACTAGGGCTGATTGGCGGTCAAGAAGCTTGGGTCAGTAGAGTCCTGCCTTGGCCATGAATTCACTGCGTGACTACCAGTACATCATTGCTTCCTGCCAGGCCTCAGTTCTCCCTCCTCAGGCAGGAATAGATGATCTCAGAGATTCTTTCCTGCTCTGACCATCATGCCTTCAGGAGGAAGAACTCCCTGGGGTGGGATCTGTGGTTGGAGCCCATTCTATCAGCAGCCAGTGCTCAGACCCAAGGCCAGACCCCACAGGGAGCTGTGCTGTGTGAAGATGTCTGTGATGGGGGTGCCTGACGTTGTGAGTGTGAATGTCAGAGTGTGTGTGTGTGTGTGTGTGTGTCTATACATGTGCTTTCACTCCTGAATCAAGGTAACAGGGTGGGAAATCCAACACAACCATGGAAAGACATAACTAACTTCTGGCAGGCCGTGAGTGTGGGGTCTCCAGGACTTATTTTTATTTCCTTATTTTTCTCCTTTTCCACTGTGGTTTAATAAGCAAATATGTTCTGGTGTCCATAAGGCAGAGCTTCTCTTTGGGGACCAACACCCAGCTCCGAGGACCCAGAGTTGTCTACAGGCCTCATGGCACAGGACACAGGCTGGCCTCAGGAATGTTCTGGAAAGCCAGGCTCTGTCGGCCGGCTCTCAGGGATGTCAGAGCTCGGCACTAACACAAACCTTCATCCATGTGCATCTGGGGCTTGAGGGGAGGGGTACTGAATTTAGAAAACTGGGTGGGATCAACTACGTGTGTCCTCGGCAAGTGGCAGATGAGGTCTGGAGGGTCTGGAGCCTGAGGTGAGCTGCCGGAAGGCATTACTGGAAGAACGTGTGTGGTGGCCATTTTATTTTTCCATTGCAGGAGCTGGAGGACTAACCATAACGTGAAATGAGTGGCCATGCTCACCTCTCCACAGCAGGGTGCTCGAGCGAGAGACGCTGGGAGGAAGGGAGAGCGTGGTGGGATGGGGAGAGCTCAGGGTTGGCAGTCAGTCAACTCTGCGGTGGAAGCCCTCACTGCCCTCAGAATCCTGAAAGGCCTGGACATGGTGAGGGCCAGACCTCAGAATCGGGGGGATCGGCTGCAGGAATCACGGGGTGAGGGCTGCAAGAAGTGGAGGCTGGGCTGTTTGGCCTCCACCTCCTCATCAGCTCCAACCCGAGGACCCAGGGCCTCCCTCCTGCCAGAATCTTATTTCCCCTACACCCTACTCTGTGGCGCCTTCGCAGGCCCATCTCTTGACCTCCCTCCCAACTCCTCCCCGTTATGCCCTGAATAGCATTAATCTTACTTTGGGTCTCCTTTGCACCCATGGTCCCACTCTTGGGCACCTCTTTACTTTTTCAGCCTGGTGAAATTCTAGAGGCTGCCAGCATCCCTAGGCTTATTGGCCACATCACTCCAACCTCTGCTTCCGTCTTCACATTGCCTTCTCCTCTGTCTGCCCTTCCCGCACCCCTCTTATGAGGACCCAACTGCATAATCCAGGATAATCTCAAGAACCTGCTCAAATATCCTATGCACTATGACGCTTGCCCTGAACCCTCCTTCCCCCCAGGCGGAGGCCATCCTCCCTGCACAGCACCAGGCACACTCGTGTCACACTGGACTGTAATCGTGTGTCTCCTCCTCTAGGCTGTGATCAAGGACTCAATCTTTTTCACCTTAATGTCCTCACTTTGGTACAAAGCCTGAGACAGTATACGTGGCTAATGAATTGTTTGCTAAATAAATAAATTAGTAAATGAATGCATGAGATCAGCTTTGGGGCCTATATGCATGGGCCCCCTGGGGCTCACAGAAGCATGGTGCCAGGTCCCTGAGTCCGTGCCCTTTGGCTTTGCCATACCTCACAGCCCCTCCACCTTCCCCCAGTGGGAGGAGCCTACTCTTCCTTCCACTGGGCCTTGGAGCTGTGTTGGGATACTCCCGATGGCTGGGAGAGGAAGGGGTTGGTCCATTCCCTCCTCATATCTTGAAATCAAGCCACCCACCTGCCCAGACATACCTGTTAATTCAAACCTCCCTCCATGCCTCCTCCCCAACTCCTCCCTCAGCCTACCTGCCTTCACTCTCCAGTATTCCCATCACCTACCCTCTCCCACCCAGTGCAATCCAAGGAAACCCAGAGCATCGCAGTCCATGCCAGGGATAAGCTTATCATTTGCCGGCATCACCAACCCTTTGAGGGAGAGCAATCCTTCATAGGGTGGGCCCAGACACCCCACTGGAGGCAAACCAGCCTTTCAGAGTCTTGCACCCGTCCACCATCGCCCGCCGCCCTGTCCCTGTGCCCGGCTCACCTGTCTCTCCCCAGATGGGCAGGTACTCATCCTGCTGAATGTCCAGCATGATCTCCAGCCCGTTGCCTGTCCCCCCCTTGACCGTGGTGAGCAGAGGTTTGCCATCCTCGCCTGAGTTAAACATGTAACACTTCCCATATTTTGTAAACACCTGAAGGAGAGAAGAGAGAGGGAGAGAAGCATACGTGTGACTTCAGGCTGGGCTCCAGAGATTGGCAAGACCCCAGAAATCTCACAGCAGGTCAGAGTCCCCATAGCCCATCACAATCAACCCCTCTTGGAGACCAAAGATTCCTTGCCTTGGCTACTGGCATGACTTTTGCCAAGTGGGATTCTGGCATCAAAGCAAAAATCTGGACATGCTATGAGGTTAGTTGCAATGGGATCTGGTCTCTTCTCCCTCTGTACACTCCCCCTGAGCAGTCCTGTCCACTTCCAAGTGTCAATGATCGCCTGTAAGCCCTTCACCCTCCAATCTGCACCTCCAGCCCCAAGCTCTCTCCTGCGCTCCAGATGCACGGATCCCACTGCCTGATGAGCATGACCTCAGGGGGACCCACAGACCCCCGACACTCAGCATGTCCCAGTGGGACAAGTCTTCCTCAGGCTCCCTGCCTCACCAGATGGTTCTCCCGCACCTCTGTCCTAGGGAATAGCATTGCCACTTGCCAAGGGGCTCAGGCCAGACCCTCCGAGTGGCTGTCCACTCTTCCTCTTCCTCCCCACCACGTCCAGTTACCCAGCAAGGCCTGTCAGCACTGTCTCCGCATCTGCCTTGCATTGCGCCTTTTGTCTTCTGCCGCAACTTAGGACCTGGTCCTTTCAAGCCTGGCTGCTGCAGTTTCCTAGCTGGGCTCCTGGGTTCCAGACAACCTTCTCCAGCCTGTCCTCTAAGATAACTTAGCTCACTCTTTCTGAAATGCCAAGCCGATCTTCTTAATCCTGTGCTTAAAATCCATCAGTGCCCCTCATCCCCCTTAGGCCAATACCCAGGCCCTTCACACCCAGCCTTCTGGGATGCCCACCACCTAATCCATGCTACTGCTTCCCATCTGAGTCCACAGGAATCCGCTAGAAGGTAAGCTCCACAGGTTCAGGGACTACATCTGCTTGCTCACTGACGTACCTATCCCTAGTGGCCAGCACAGCACCTGGCACGTGGTGGTGTTCCAGAAATATATATCAAGTGAATGAATGAATGACTGAATGACTCAGTGGTTGGGTGGGTGGAGCCAGATCAAACAACTTGCAGCACCCCGGATGTACCCTGCTGGTTCCCACACTTATGGCTTTCTATCTGCTGCTTCTGCTGCCTGTAACTCGTCTCATTCCTCTTTCTGCCTGGACAACCTCTAGCTCTCTGCCTGGGCAACCTCTAGCTGTTCTCCAAGACTGGATTGATGCAACTCTTCCTACAGGAAGCCTTCCTGAGCCCCTGGACCAAGTTGGGTTACACCTCTCCTCACTGTTCCCCTTGCTCCTTCACCATGGCAGCCATCACGTGGCACTGAATAGCTGGTCCTGCATCTCTCCTGAACTTGACTCTGCCTTTCATTTCTGAATCCCAGCACTTACTACATTGCCTGGCACACAGTAGGCACTCAGTCCACTTTTGCTAGATGAAAGCATAATTACAAGGATGGAGTGTGATGTGTGGGAAGAGCCCAGGGCAAGGAATACGGAGATCTCTGTCCAAGTCTGATGTTGCCACTTACTAGTTGTGTGACTTTGGGTGAACCGAATAAACCTTCCAAGCCTCAACTTCCCCATCTATAGAATGGGGGTTCTAGTCCTTGCCTTCCCTACCTCTCAAGGTTATTGAGAGGATCAACTGAGGTAATAAGTGCAAAAGTGCTTTGAAAACTATTAAAGCTTTCTGCAAATGCTATGGGTTATTATGATTACATAACTGCTTTGGAACCTCGAGCTGAAGCCAAATTATATCTGGCAAAATTGGCTGGAAGAGAGCCAGGCCGACTGTATAGGATTTCTGCAGCCCCTGAGATTCGGGTCCAGGTCACCTCCCTGACCACACTCCACTGCACTGTCCCCTCCTACAGCATGGAGGCTGCAGAAGGCTCTTTGGCTTCCCATTGTTCAGTGCAGGGGCAGGGAGATAGCGGGCTGAGGGCTGGAGGCTGCCTTCTCATGCAGATCTTGATGGGTGGATGGAAGGAAGGGAGAGGGGCCTCCACCATGGGCCAGGCACTGTGCTAGATGCTTACCTATATGGTCTCATTTAACCTTTGCATCCATGACCACGGGTATTGCTGCTCCCATTGTGCAGAAGAGAAAACCAAGTCCCAGAGAGGTTAAGTGACTTGCCTAGGGTCACACATCTCTGAAGTAGAGAAGCTGGGATTCAAATCTGTGTCTTCCTGATTCTAACACACATGCTCTTTCTGGGTGGGCTGTCATGGGTCTTTGTCATTGAGACGTGTCCGAGCCATATACTGTTGCCCTTTGCCTTGCTTTTCCCATCAGCCAATCGATATTCATATGCATGTGCTCCTACCATGTGCAAGGATTCCGGGGCTTGCAAAGAAGTACAAGCCCTACTACCCACCATCATGACCTGAGGAAGGGCCAATAAAACACCAGATTCCCCATTTTTCTCCACTGTCCAGAATGGCTCTGAGTCCCTAGCCAGCTGCACTATTTCAGGGCAGCCAAGCCCTACTTTCTCAGCTTCATGGGGAAGGGCAACTGGAAAGTGATTTTTCAAAAAACCGAGCTTTATCATCACTCCTGTATATAGCAACTGAACTTGGCTAACGAAGTTGTCCCCCACAGAGATGCTCACGGGAGCCACTGTAATGAACAGACAAGAGCATGTTACAGTGAGCACCTCTATTGCCAAGGGTTGAACACATCTGGAGTGACTTCTGGGGTGCTCCAACAGAGCTTTTCTTTGTAGAAACACGAAATATCCTCTCTGTCTCCAAAATTGTTTATAATATTAATTTACCTATCTATATGAAGCGATTTGTGAGTAAAAGTATGTTTCAGCTTAGCACCAGATTTTTGCAAATTTTTTCTCCCTTCTTCCCCCCATTTGGTACTTGAACTTCAGAGTATTGGGCTGGCATTAGAATGTGGTGTCTACTCCTGGCATCAGCCCAGCCCTGTCACAAACATGGTGTGCGGCCTTGATAAAGGTATTGACCCTCTCTGAGCCTCTGAGGGTGATGACAAGATGGGAGAACTGAAAGGGGTCTTAGAGATCATCTCGTCCACCCATCTTACTTTACAGGTGAGGAGATGGAGACCTGGGAGAGAGGAAGTGACTTGCCCCAGGATACACAGCAAGGAAGAGTCCATCTGGGACAATGACTCCTAGTTCAGCCTGTTCCTTCCTTTATATAAGCCTCCCTCAGTTTCCCCACTTAGAAGAGGAGATGGAGGATCTAGGGGATTGCTCCTTTCAGCTGGTCATTGACTGCATACCTGCTCTCTGCTGGGCCCTGGGCTGGCACCACTGAGGTCGCCCCATAGAGGAGGCTGCAGACAGGTCTTTGCTGTGGGAGTGACAGAGATGTGCCCCCCATCCTCAATGGCTCCCTTGCTAGGCCTGGTACTCATCCTAGGCCCAGTTGGCAGCTCCTGTAGGTGCCCTTGGTGTCAGTCCCATCTTTCCTGCCCCCTCCCCCTGGGGCTGGTTGCTGGGGAAGTGTGCACACTTGCCAGGTGTGAATGGACGCACGTCAGAGCGTGGGCAGCAGTGGTGACAACAAGAGTGTGGGGCAGAGAGCTGGAGGGGGACTGCAGCCATGTCTGAGAGATGGCCAAGCTCTCTATAAAGTCAGGACCACCATAAAGAGGGCTAGCACCCTTCTGCAGCTTCCTGGTGCATTTAGGATAAACTCCCAGATCCTCACCGGGCCCTGCGTGGTTCGACCCAGTCTCCCTCTCTTTCCTCTCTCACGTGCCTCAAACACACTGGCTTCTTCAGTTCCTGGAACGTGCAACAAGCTCTTCCCCCTGCAGGGCCTTTCCACATGCCATTCCTTCTTCCTAGAATGTTCTCTCATCACCCTTTGCCTGGCCAACTTGTGATCAGGCCTTGGCCTAAATGCTGTTTCCTCAGAGTCTGGCTTGACCATCCCCGCCCCTGCTCCCAGCCTCCATTTAAATTGGGGCCCCTTGTTTTACAACCTCACACCCCTGTATTTTTCCTTTATGGTGCATATCAAAGTGTATCAACTCAACGGTCATTCATGTGATATTTGCTGGACATGTCTTCCACTAGACTGTAAGCTTCCAGAAGGCAGGGACCGTGTCTGTTTTGTCGCACGAAGGAATGAACGAATGGGCTCCAAGGCGCTGCTCCCTGCCACCCCCTTGCCCACCTCTGGGAGGTGCCCTTTCGTGCTGGGTGGCCTGGCAGGAGCTCATGCTGACATCTCATCCAGCTCCCCACCCCTCCCTTTCTCTGCCGTGGCCTTCTCAGCTTCTCGCTTAATTGTGCCTAAGCATTTTGGAATGCTTCTCCGTGAAGTTATCAGAGGAAATAATCCTTTCAGGAACTAAGACAGTTTACCTTTGTGGGGGCAGGAGAACGGGGCTCAGAGACAGCAAGGTGCACGTTGGCTGCACGCCTCTGCCGGCCTCCCTGCCCGCGCCGCTCAGCCCGCCGCTCCTGTCTGGCTTCTCGGAGAAGATGATTTTCCTCTCTGCTCAACATCAAAGGCCTGAGACCTATTTACACATAGCGCAGTTTTGCAACAAACTTGGGACAAGATGCAGCTCTTCTTCCCCATTTTGGGGCATAACAACGTGTAAGTGCAACACATGCTTCAAATTTATGCCTTATCGCCCCCAGCCAGAAAATACAATTTCTTTAAGTGCAGACTGTCAAGCCAAGCTTGCTGCTTGCTCAGACCTGCCATTCTTCCAGGCATCTCTGCTCTCCCGGTGAGCGCTGACAGCCCCATCACGGATAGCAGGGCTGGGTTTGCAGGGTTGCTGAGAGTCTAGAATTGCACTTAGCTGGATTGGTTTGTAAGGATTAAAGGTGTACGTTTCAAACCCCGATCTCCAAGACTGACGGGGGGATTCTGAGATAATGGGTCCCATGACCATCATCTTCACTGCTAACATTTACATGGTGCATGACAGTTTGGAGACTGTCTACATAAAGCTTTAACTTTC